GGGTGGGGGTGGAGGGAACTTTGGTTTGAACTCAGGGCTTCTCACAAAGCAGGCACTCTCCTTTGAACCACACTTTCGGTCCTGTTTTTTTTTTTTTTTTTTGGTAGGATTGGGGTTGAAGCTCAGGGCTTTGTGCTTGCAAAGCAGGTGCTCTACTGCTTAAGCCACATCTCCAGTCCATTTTGCTCTGGTTAGTTTGGAGATGAGATCTCTCAAACTATTTGTCCAAGCTGGCCTTGAATCAAGATCCTCCCTATCTTAGCCTTCCAAGTAGCCACCAGTGCCCAGCAGTGCATATTATTTCTAATTGCAATCATTGCAATATAAGAAAGGGACAAGGTATTGGAAAGCTTAACAGGAGGGAGTTAGCTGAATTTGGAAACTAAGGGGCCCTGGCCAAGGAAGGGGGGTTTGTTTGTTTGTTTGTTTGAAGACAGTGTCTCACTATGTAGTCCAGTCTGGCCTCAAACTCAGCTTCTGTTCAGCCTCCTGAGTACTGGGATTACAGACATATAGCACCAAACCCTGTCTTTAAAAGGTCCTGAAAGATTACTTAGCCAGGGTAAGAGTAGAGGGATGTGGTAGGATCCAAATGGGGTGTGGGGGGAGAGTGTGCACAGACCCTAAAGCAGGGATCATTTTGTCTTCGTGAGGCTGAGAGCCTGGTAGTGATCATGATTATCAAGAGTTAAGAGGGCCTTGGAGGCCTTGGCAAGAATGTCCTACTTAGCCAGGAGAGCATTGCTCTGGCCAACAAGGGATGGTTGTGATCCAATTTTAAAAGGTTATGGTGGAGAAAGGATGGGGTGGGTGGCTGTCAACAAGAGGGAAAGTAAAGAGGTCTGGGGGCCACTCCCTTGCAGCCAAGGGATAGGGTGTCTTATGTAAGTGATGAGAGTGAGGATGGCTAGAAGTAGATGGATTTGACATAGATTCTGGAAGACTCAACGCTATTAGATGTGTTAGAGGTGAGGCATGCCCAGGTTTCTACCTTGGGCAGCTACATACATCGAGGTGCTATTTGTACCTTGGTACAGAAGATTGTCAGTGTTGGGATTGAGCACAGTGGCTCCCACCTGTAATCCCAACTACTCAGAAGGTGGAGATTAGGAAGATCAAGGTCTGAAGCCAGTCCAGGTGAAAAATTATTGAGACCCTATCTCAACAAACAAGACAGGTGTGGTGGTGTGCATTTATAACCCCAGTTATGTGAGAAGTGTAGTTAAGAAGATCAAGATCTGAGGCCAGCCCAGGCAAAAAGGATTGGGGGCATGACTAAGTGGTAGAGTGCCTGCCTAGCAAGTGCAATGCTCTGAGTTCAAACTGCACTACAGCACCTCCTCCACCCCCCCCCCAAAAAAAAGCAGTGCTGCAACATGTTGTGTTTGAACCACAGGCTATTCACTAAGGATAGCTGCTGTTATTTACTTCAGTTGTATTAAGTTTGACTCCCTGGAGACAGATTCCTTGAGATAAAATGCAAGTCCTTCCAAAACCTCCAAGGAGAATGTGCCAAGCACTATCATTGGAGCTTAAGGTACACTGAAGTTGTGGTCCCTGACTTTGGGAAATCCTGTCTTGTCAAGAGAGAAACCATTTGTTAGATTATCAGCATTATAGCATAATTGAGTGATGAATGGGGAGGGAGTATAAGGCGTTTGGAGAACGAGGAGGAAGGAGTGAGTGGGTGTTCCCCATCACCTTTAGAGAGAAATTGACCTTGGAATAGAAGTCACTAAAATGGACCAGGTGTCTCATATCTGTAAAACCAGCTATTTGAGTGGCAGAGATGGAAGAATCTCAGTCCAGGCCTGCCTGGACAAAAATGTGAGACCCGATCCAAAAAATCACTAAAGCAAAAAGCAGTGGGGGCAAGGCTCAAGTGGTAGAGCACCTGCCCAGCAGGTGTGAGTCCCTGAGTTCAAACCCCAGTATTGCCAAAAGAAAAGAAAAATTACCAAAATGGAAAGAGAATGGTAAGTGCAGAAACAAGGAGCTTGAGTGAACAAGATGGGGTTGAAAGCGATAGAAGTAGGCTAGGGATGTAGCACAATGGTAGAACATTTGCTAGTGTGAGTGAGCTGTTGGGCTCAATCAGAAGGAAGAAGGAAGAAAGAAGAAGGAGGAGAAGGAGCATAATATAATAATAATAGTGGGCTTTGCAGACACAGAACACCTTGGCCATCGGGTCTTCCAGGACAAATTCTGATCTACTTTGATATTCCCAGCCCCATCTGTTCCCAGCAAGTGGTAGGGCATAGAGAAAACTCACTAAGTATTTGGTGAATTTTGTTTTTCCTAAACCTCCCAAATGTCAAACGTTAGAGTAGTCCTCAGCCCCCTTTCCTGGTCCTTGAGCTGGGTGGCTGCATTGAACCACCCTTGGGACAACAGCCCCGGATGGATGATGGGGTGGAACGGGTGGGTTGGAATGAGGGAATGTAATGAGAAGTGCATTGGCAGCTGGACATCAGTGGCTCACACCTGTAATCCTAGTTACTTGGGAGGCTGAGAGCTGGAGGATTACAGTTCAAGGCCAGCCTGGGCTAATAGTTCAAGCGACCCTGTCTCCAAAATTAACCTGAGCAAAATTAACTGGAAATGTGGCTCAAGTGGTAGAGCACCTGCTTTAATCGGGAAACCCTGAGTTCAACCCCCAGTCCCACCAAAACCCCCATTCCAACCCCTGCCATGAATTATCAAATGCCCAGAAAAACTAACCCATTTTCTTTTTGGAAAGAGCTACACAGAGAAGTCCATTTTGTAGCCTAGAGCCCACCCACATAACTCCTGCTTCAGCCCTTTTTATTATTTATGTTTCCCCTGGGATTTCATTCTGGCTCAGGGGCCTCTTTTTTCTTTCCTTGTTTTCTTTTTTTGAGATAGAGTCTCAAAACACTGGCCTGGTGTTTTCAACCTCCTAGGCTCGAGTGACTCTCTCACCTCAGCCTCCAGAGTAGTGGGACTACAGGCATTCACGGTAGTACCAGGCTTCTGATGGGCCTCTTTCCAAGCATCCCGGGGTCCTCTGTGGCCCACCTTCCTCTAAATTTCCAGGGCAGGGACAAAGGTCTCCCCATCTGTCTGGGGTCTTTCTGGAGCCCAGGCCCAAGTATGGGGACCACTAATTAACTGTGTCCTAAAAGCAAAGCAGTTAGTTGAAGGACCACCTTATACAAACACAACTAATGAATGATCTGGGGCCCAGTTTTTCTCCAAATCAGAGACACATGAATTTGATCTCTTAGGGTCATGACTGTGCATGGGAAAACATGATCTCTTTCACGCTGGGGTTGTGAAGATGCTAAGAAGGCCCCTTGCCCTCAATCCTTCCCACTCCCAAATGCCTGTATCTCCCCCACCTGGTCCATTTCCTATGTCTCCATCCTTATCTGTGTCCTAAGTTCTTTCCCATCAAGGATGAACCTGAGCTGTGTAGTCTCTGCAATTCTTGGCCTACTGGCATCCCGCCCTCTGCCCTACTCAGCAGAGGAAGCCACTCACTGGTCATTAATTTATTGAGCACCTACTGTGTGCCGGTCATGTTATACAGAGTATGTGAGAGTCTTCCTGGTAATGCACTGACACCAGAGCTCTAGCGCCAGGGAGGACTGGGTCACTCCACCTCTCTAGGTGATGACAGTGCACTATCAGTGTTTTAACACCAAGAGTCCTGGAAGAAATACAGAGCTCAGCGCAGGCCTGGCATGAAATGCTGGCATTGAAGACAGGAGTGAGTTGGCCCGCAGCTGGTCAGCTGTGACATACAGGGAATCGTGGGGAGTGGCATCTGAATAGCGATCCTCTGGAGCCGTCACTCTGAAATCTGGTCCTCCTCCTCTGTGCCTGGGGAAAATTGTATATGTGGCTGGTGGTTAGGGAGTCTGGTCTGTCTCCCCCAACTCAATGAACTCAAAGCCATCTGTTGCCCTCACCGTGTCCCCTGTCTATAGATATCTAGGGTGGTGGAATTGCAGGTTCATCTGCCATATCTTCCATTATTCAATTGTAAGTGTCTCCAGAGCCAGGACAGAGTCAACCCTGTCATCCTCACTACAGAGGGAAGTGGCATTCAACAGTCCCCAAGACTCTCCTGAGGATATGGGAACTGCTGCTGACCAAGAGACTGGAGACATAGCTTTACCCTGGCTCTATTATTAGCTCACTGTGTGACTTTGGACAAATTGCTTTCCATCTCTGAAAAAAATGACAGTTTCTAGGCTTCCTGCTCACACCATGCATGGAGGAACATTTGTTTCTATTTTGTATTAGGGTGACTTCCAGGGCCATTTGATTGGAATGACTTAAACACCGAGAAAATCTCAGGGGAAAGTAGAGGCTGATTCCATCACCCTTTCCAAGAGCCAATGTTGGAATGAGCAGGTGTTTAGTCAGAGGAGCAAGGAAGGGGCCAGAAGTCTGAGCTCAGGGGAGAGGTCAGGCAGACAGGAAGGAAGGCAGCCTGGAGCTCAGTTTGACCAGAATCTGACCACTGGGGTTCCCGCTGCCCTTCCTCTCGGGCCTGGTCACTGGCACTTTTCCGAGTCTGATTCACTTACCTTCCCGCCTGCTTTTGGGAACCACTGGAGGATGTGGTCCCTGTTGGGAGGTGTTAACTGATAACTTCTTAGGGTATCACTCATCCCAGGGCCATGTGCTCTTAATAACAATTGTTGAAGGCAGAGAGTCTCTTCAGACGAAAGGTCTGACCTTCCAAGAATCAGTAACTAGGACTTTATGCACAGTATAGGAAAAAGAGGATACTGGCGGTTCTCTAACCTATGCACCATCTTCTGTGGATCAGCTGGCCCTTGGATGTGCGGGACGGGGTGCCCAGCAGAGTAGGGGTGGGGGTGTGTGGCTTCAAAATCATCAGAGGCCCCCTCCCACACCCCATCTACTCTCTCCCATGGTCCCTCCGCCTTATGACTTGTGGGACCCTGCGCTGTCTGATGGCAGCAGAGCATCTGGCCACTTTCCCATTATACCCTTGCCACCCACTAGAGGCTCTCACCTACCTTCTGTGGACACTCCTCCCCTGCCCAGGAGGCCCTGAACCATTCGTTCCAGATGATACCCTGGTGAGGGAAAGAGAACAGATAGAGAACAGAGGTAGCAAAGGAAGAAGACTTAGAAACTAGGGAAGGGCAGGGCCAGGGCCAGAGCTGGGGCCTTGCAAATGGAACCATTTTTTAATCACCCTGGTCGATGAGAAACAACTGGCTTTGTTCATTCACTCACAGATCTATCCCTCCCACCCTCCCTCCTTTCTTCCTCCTCCTCTTTTCCTCCTCCTCCTCCTCCCCTTCCTTTCTTCCCACTCCTCCTCCTCCATTCTCCCATCTGTTCATCCTTCCACAAACACCTAGTGGGTGTTTCCTATGACAAAAACTGGGCTGGGTATTTGGGGTACAGATTCATAGGAGACCTGGTGCCTGCCCATGTGGAGTTCCAGGCTGGGGACACCAGCTGTGTGAGCCAGCAGAACAGCACAGTACAGTGTGCTTAGAGCACAGTGCTCGGCCATGGAGATGAGCTGTTTGCAGGGCAGGTGGTCAGGAAGCAGAGCCGCTGGAAATGGGGCTGGGGTGAAGTTAGTGAAGGTCAAAGGCATGAGGGACAGTGCTCCATCCTCTGGTGTCATGGAGACAGGTTAGTGTAGTTTCTTTTGATTCTTTTTTTTTCCTGAGCTAGGGTCTCACCCAGGCTGGCCTGGAACTCACTAAGTTGCCCAGGCTGGCCTCAAACTCGTTAACCTTCCGCCTCAGCCTCCTGAGTGATGGGGCTAAAGACTGTGATTACAGGCATGTACCGCTATGCCCAGCTCTTCTTTTGATTTTGTTCTTCCCTTTCCACAAAAAGGTTTAAGCAGGGTAATGGCTACTTGGATTTGCACTTTTCAGATACTCCAATGGGCTGGAAGTTGGAGCTCTGAGCACTGTTATCTTCATCATTTTTTCCAAATTCAGGCATTAGATTCAAGATAATTTAGAAACTGTGACAGAACTAGACTCATCTCTTACACTTGTAAGCACTCCCTAAGCATTTTCCTCTAAGGAAACAACCAGAAAGTCCAGTGTGTGGCCAAGCTACACTAACCCCAACCTCTGCACAGCACAGCAATGCCAACCAGGCCTGCCCCTGGAAAGAGCATCACTCCCACCTCCTGGGTTTGTTAGTGGCAGGGACAGCCCACCCCTCTCCAGGGATCAAGTTGAGAGGAGGCCTGGCAACACTCACCTGTTCTCGCTCCTGGCTGGATTGGAGGTCTTCCTGAAAGGGAGGAGAAAAAAGGAATGAGGAAGCTGGATACCAGTGGCTCACACCTGTAATCCTAGCTACTCAGGAGGCAGAGATCAGGAGGATTGAGGTTCAAAGCCAACCCTGGGCAAATAGCTCGAGATGCTGTATCTTGAAAAAAAAAAAATCATCAAAAAAAGGGCTGGTGGAGTGGCTCAAGGTGTAGGCCCTGAGTTCAAACCCCAGTACACACACACACACACACACACACACACACACACACACAGGAAAAGAAAAAAAGAAGGAATGAGGATCACACTGCTTCCCTGGGGACTTGGCGAGGTGTGTGTAGGGGAAGGCGTTCTTCACAGGAGCTCTGGTCATTCCTGTTGTTCTCCTGTGGTAGTGGGAGTGTGCCCCATAGGAAACAGTGGGGAGCAGTGGAAACACATGGGAGTTGGTCTCCTTGGCACCCGACACCAACGGTGTGGGCACCCTTGGAAAAGCATTTAAGCTATCAGAGTCAGAACCCCAGTCCCTGCTGGATAAGGAGTATTGCTATGGAGGTATGAGCATCTGGCTTGCTTTAGAACTTTCTCCCTCTACCACATGGGCTGTTGATTTGGACCCATTCCCATACTCATTTTGTAGAGGAAACTAAGGCCACAAGTTGGTTTTCTCCATATTTATATTTTTATTACAAAACCAGTCCTTTAATATATGGCCAAATATTGAAATAAAGCAGTGTGTAAAGTTTGAGGGTTTTTTTGTTTGTTTTTGTTTGTTTGTCTTGCGGTACTGGGGCTTGAACTCAGGGCCTACACCTTGAGCCACTCCACCAGCCCTTTTTTTGTGAAGGGTTTCTTTTTGAGGTAGGGTCTCGTGAACTGTTTGCACAAGCTGGCTTCAAACCTCGATCCTCTGAAATCCTACTGATCTCTGCCTCCTGAGTAGCTAGGATTACAGGCGTGAGCCACCAGCACCTGGGTACTGTAGAGGATTGTACAGTAAAAATTAAAGTCCTTCTTCTCTCTTGCCCCTCACTTTCTGTCATAGATATAAACACTATCTACAGTTTGATATTTATCCTTCTAAAACTTTCCCTATACATCTGCGTATACATGCGTGTACGTGCTGTGATTTTATTAAACACGTAGACCCCATCACGCACATTGTTCTGTAACTTGCTTTATCCGCTTAACCACATAGCTTGGAGATCTTGCCAATCTTTCCACAAATCTGACTCATCTTTTTAAATGCCCATAAAGGTTATGTGTGTGCTTAATATGTGTTGACCTTTTCCCTGCTGATGGTCTTATGTTACTTACAAATTCTTGCTATTAACAAACAACTCGGCAATGAACACTTTGGTGTAAACAGCTTGGGGCTCATGTAGCAATATCATACCTACTTGATAAATTTCCTGACCTGAGACTAAGGCGTGTGCATTTCCAACTGAGGGATGTGGCCCACATGTCCTCCATATGGACCATGGTAAAAGTGCCAGTTTGCTTAGCCTCTGGTCAACAATGAGCATGACCATTTAAGAAAATAGAATGTTAGCTGGAGGTGTGGCTTAGGTGGTAAAGCACCTGCTTAGCAAGCATGAAGCTCTGAGTTCAAATCCCAGTACCACCAGAGAGAGAGAGAGAGAGAGAGAGAGAGAGAGAGAGAGAGGGGAGAGAATAGAATATTGAAAAAAGTAGAATAAGTGAAGAGGAAATAGCTCTCTGTCCAGTCTCTTTTCTCCTTGTTACCCCAGGACAGGACTCCCTCATTGAAAATACCTCAGGGCACGCAGGTTCGTTTTAGTAGTTCTGTTTGGAGCACACAGAACTGCCTACAAACTTGACTCATGGCATCGCTCACATCTAGACACTGTTTTCTAGCTTTACTCACCCAAGTCACCCAGGCACAGAAGACAAGGACACTGACTCTATGGTGCCAAGCATTGGTTCCGCCTTTAGGGCAACCAATTCCTCATAGGACTGGATGGTCCATGGCTACACCTGTTGCCTCGTGCCATTATTAATGCTCTCCAAAATGACCCAGATAATGACTGAAGTGGAGTCTAACCCACCCCATGTCATGAGCAACCCCTACTGGACTGGAGTCACTGGCTCTAGCCCCTGGGTTTTTTTGTTTGCTTACATTTTGTTTTGTCTTTTGGGGCAGCACTGGGGTTTGAAATCAGGTCCTCATTCTTGCTAGGCAGGCACTCTTACTGCATGAACCACTCTGCCAGCCCAGCCTCTGGGTTTTAACCTAGGGCTCGTGCTTGGTGTTTCTGAACCCACCTGGAACCACTCCTTGCTGGGCTTCCACCACCTTTATTACTCACCTCCCACCCGCTTTCCCATCAGCCCAAAAAACTGGCTCGCCTTGCCGTTCTTCACCTCCTGCAGCTGGAGCTGAATGCCAGGAATGAGGTTTCCCTGAAAGCAAAGAGTTAGTATTAGAGTGGGGGGAGGTTGACAAGCAGACAGGGAGAAGACTGAGCAATAACCATCTGAACCAAACAGCTCACAGTCACTGAACACTTGCTTTGTGCTGGCCCTGTACTCTTCTGCATACCGCACACCATAATGTGCATTAGCGAACGTTTCACTTACTATGTTCTTCCCGCTGTTCTGAGCAACTCACTCAATCCTTACCAAAACTCCATGCAAACAGGACCCAGTACTATTACCGTCCTCATTACAGATGAAAACACAGAGATACAGAGAGATGAAACGATATGTGCAAGATCACCCAGCGAATCATTGAGAGATGGAGTTAGAACTTGAACCCAGGCCATCTGGATCAAAGACTTGGCTCTCAAACACTAGTCAGGATCTCAGTCCTTCAATCTTCATAACCACTGTCAGAAGTAGGGACTGTCATCCCCCAGACACTTGACATACGCGGAAGTGGAGACATAAGGTGATTTTGTGACTTGTCCAACATCATATAAGAAGAGACTGAACCAGGATTCTAAAGCCTGCCCCCAGAGCACAGATTCTGCCCCATCTTGGGAAATATCTCCAACATAGAGAAGGAAGGGGTTGCCAGTGAACTTAGGGGAGCAACAAAGAGACTGCTTTCTCTCCAGATCCCCATTTTAGCTCTGCCTCCCCACTGTGCCACAGGTTCCTTGTCCCAGACTTACCCTCCCTAGAGCCTGGTCTCCCAGGAGAAGCATGGCATGTGGTCTGGGATGGAGCTCTTACCCTGGTCAAAGGCATTTTAATCCTTGAGCTGAGGGTAAACATTCTGACCCCAGGGCAGTTCTCACTCCATTCCTCTGTGAAGGTGGCCAAAGTCCTCTCCCTCTCTGACCTTAACCTGAACCCCTGAAGTGTGGGATCCTTTCTCTGACAGTCTAGGAATGGGTAAGTGGATAGGATCTCCTTTTCCAACAAGGCTGAAGACTGGCAAACTGCCCTGGAGGAGTGGGGTATGGATCAGGGGCCCTTCTTCCATCTGGATTTCCTTGAGGCACTGCTGGACTCCCAGGGTCCACAGGAACCTGGCTAGGGGCACCCAAAACTCATGCACCAATCATAGCTTTTCTTCTCCCAACTTCCAGGATCAGGAGTGGGTTGTTTTTTAAGCCTTGGACTAATTCAGCCACTTCCAATCTGTCTCCTCCCTAGGACGTCAGTGGCTGGGGCAGATGTCTCTGACTGGAGTCGCCTAGCCTGGCCAGAAACCAGAGAAATCTCTTTGGAGAGTAGACCCATTTCTGAAAAGCTCATGAAAACCACTTTGCCTTGGTAAGAGGCAGACTTCAAATGCAAGCTGGAGAGAATGGCGCTTCATGAATTAAATAGGACTGACCCTTCTCCTACCCATCAGGCTTCTGTTACACTGAGAGAGGGGCATTAGGAGGCATCTGCTCCCTTTCACTTGGGAAGGACTCCTGCCCCCTTCTTCCCAGAAGTCTCCATATCCCGAAGCCGTAGCCAAAACCCCAGCTCTGGGTGTGACTACAGATGAGGAGTCCTGGGAGCTATGGTGCCTGCATTTAGTGACATCATTTGTAGTAGTGCCTGTAAGTTCTGGCCTGCCAATCTATCCACTCCTCCTATATTCCAAGCCTATATTCCCAAGTGTCTTGGGAGGCAGAAGGTTATTGAAGGAGAGTGAAAGAGAAAGAGGGTTGGACCCCACGGTGGGATAAGATGCTGCTGAGTAGAAAGCCACAGTGCTAGTTGAAAAGTCTGATGCTGCTTCCCCTGGCTATGTTCAGGCCACCATCACCCAGAGTGGCTTCTCAAACATCTACCAGTTCTCCATTGTTTGGCATTGACTTGGTAAAGCATGTCAAAACTCAAGAAAGTGCTCTCTCCTTGCATTTTGCAGGTGAAGAAACTGAGGCCCAGAGAGCAGCAGGAGTCAGTGGAGAAGTTCAGTGAGTTTAGAGTTCAAATCAGTGAGACTTGAACCTGGGTCTCCCAGGCCTGCAGCTTTCTCCCCATTGTTGACGCTTCCATGTTCAAACCAGAGCAGAAACCTACCATGCAGGACTATCCACGGCTCTTCCTGTGTCCCTAATTTTAAGAGTTCCCGGGACCTCAGGTGGCCTAAGACTATCAACCAAGGCCAGCTAAGTATCCTCATCACCCTCGGTCTGTGGAGAGCCAGGATCAGCCTTGCTCTCCTGCAAGCCTCTCCTGAGCCCTAGTTCCTTATTTACCTGTTTGTGTACCTGGGCTGTTGTCTGCATCCCTGATCTGATTGAGAGTTTCAACGTCAAGGTCTTTGTCTTGGTCAGATTCATCAGCTTTTGGGGTGGCGTTGGGGTTGATACCAATGCTGGGCCTCCAGCTTTTAGATTTCTCTGTAGCAGCAACACTCAGGGTTTTAGGAGAAAAGACCACTAGCAAACTAGTACTTGTCAGTAGATAAAAGTGTTTCTACATGTGAGATCAAATCGTGCTCTTGCTCCAAGTGGACCCCCTTGAAAGGAAATTCTGGAAAATGTATGATACACAGATATACAGAATCAGACCTTGGACAAGGTATGTGGTTGTGTTTTGTAAGCTATGTACCTTGCACAAGCTACTTGACCTCCCTGGGCCTCAGTTTCCTCCTCTGTGAAATGGGGACATTAATGGTACTTTTCCCATGAGGCTGAAATTTGGATTAAATGAGTTAATGTTTATAAAGCACTTACAAGCATAGTGTGTGTTAAATAAACATTTCTATACACACACACACACAACACACACTGTTGTCATGTACACAAGCCTTGTGCTCCTCCCTTTGATGGTCTGGCTCATGCTTGAACCTATCCACAGAGAGGAGTCAGAGAATCTCCCTTGCAGTGTACAGTGCACAGCCTGCTTTCCTGGCAGCCCTGGAAAGGATTTTCTGTCCCTCCACCATGGGTCATCCCTTGCCCTGGTCAGGGCCTCTCCCCAAAGTTACCTCCAAAGTCACGATAACCCAGGGCTTTGCTTCTGTGCTGAGGTCCAGTTCCTGTTCACTGTCACCTGCCACAGTGCACACGGGCAGCCCCATCAGGAGGAGGGCGACGCAGGGTAGCATGGTGAACACAGTTCTGTCTGGGACTGACTGGGAACCTCTCTCAGCCTGAAGAGGCCTCCTCCGACAGGTCCAGTGTTTGGGTGGGGAAGCTCCCTGTTCTCTGCACCTTGAGTCTTCTGCTTCCTTCCTTCAGCTTATCTGAGCTTTGGGCTGTCTCCTGTGACTCGCCCCCCTCCCTGGTTGGAAAGGCCAATGACACCAGTAGCTGCTCTGGAGGAGGGACCAGATTCCTCACTGCCACCCCCCAACATCTGATCCTAGGGCTTAACACTCTGATGTAACACCTGCCTCACCTTTGGCTGGGTTCCCTTCTATGGCAGGTACACAATGGCCCAGTGTGTGGCGCCAGGAGTTTCCAATTCCATAGTGGAGGACAACCCCCAATGTTGGCCTTCTCACATTGGGAATGGGGAGAGGTAGACTGTATGCCCTTCCTGTGCTCTCCTTAGTATTCCACCACTTACCTCCCCTTCTCCTCTCTGAGCCCCTCTTCCTCTGCACTCTCCACCATCAGTAGTCCTGGTGTGTATTTAAGAGCACAAGTCTTGGAGCCGGCATGGTGGGGACCACTTTAATCGCAGCACTTAGGTTGAGGCAAAAGGATTAAGAGTTCAAGGCCAGTCTGGGTCTTGCAAGCAAGACCTTGTCTAAGAGGTGGGGAGTGGAGAGGGAGACAGAGACGGGGGGTGGGGGGGATCTTGCCCTAGGAGAGATAATACATTGCTTAAAGAAATGAGGCTCCTTGCAAGTGGGAAGTGGGAGCCAGGCTCACTCCTGTAATCCTAGCTACTCAGGAGGCAGAGATCAGGAGGATCACGGTTCAAAGTCAGCCCAGGCAAACAGTTCATGAAACCCTATCTTTAAAAAAAAAATCACAAAAAAGGGCTAGTGGAGTGACTCAAGGTGTAGGCCCTAAATTCAAGCCCCAGTACCACAAGAAAAAAAGTAGGAAATGGGACTTGCCAGAAAAATAGCCTCCTACCTCAAGTATCACCCAAAGCTACCTTTCCACTGTTGTCAAAATGATCTTTGTAAACTCCAACTTGGCCATCTGTCCTGCTACAACCTTCTAATGTTTCCCCATTGCCCTGGCATAAATTTCAAGCTCCCTAGACTGGTATCCACGGTCCCAGTGTTCAGTTCCTCCCTCTCACCTAGCCATTCATTCATCCATCTATCCATGTGTACATCAGACTAGAGCAAGGGCTCCGTGTTCAGAGAACTGAAGTCCACTCTAGCCCATCACTGAATAGCTGGGTGACCTCTGGTACATCACTTAACCCCTCTAACCCTTGGAAGCCTCACCGGGAAAAGGGACTTGATAATCGCACTGGTTGCAGAGCTGGAGGATGAAGTGAGATAATGCATGTGGAGCACTTAGCACAGTGTGTGATGGTGAATATTTAATGCCTGTTAACTGTTATTATCATTACCATAATTGACACGGGTCATGGGAGAGGACTAAGACACTGTCCCTGTCCCAGAACATCACATAGCCAGGGTGAGGAGACCGCTGGTTGATAAAGTTTGGTATGTGCCAGTATAAAGAGGGGAGCAAGGGCAAGGTGTGCCCTCCTTCCCAGTGTGCCCCTCAAATCCTGCCCCAACACTCTGTACACACACCTGCTCCCAAGACAAGTCCTGACTTCCTGCCTTCGTGGTTTTGCCTTAGCCTCTGCCTAGACCTTCTTTTCTGTCAAACTCCCACTCATCCTTAAAAGTTTGTTCCACTTAACAATCACCTCCTTGCTAGAGTTTTCCTGTCTCCAGCAAGAATGAATTGGCCCCTTTTCTATTATCTCCCACTTAAATCTCTTTTGGCTGTCTATGGGCTGCTATGAGAGCTTGTGCAGGTTGTGTACTGCACAGGGTGGCAACTGAGGAGGAGAGTGGAAGTGAAATACAGCCCTTGCTCTGATCACTGAGCTATACAGCCTGGTGTAATGCTGCACACACTGGGAGAAGGTGCTTGACTCCAGTTCTCCCTAAATGGGCCAGCTGGACTCAGGGTAGCTCTGCTAGTGAACTGTGTGGTAGTGGCTGGGGTTGTGAGAGGCCAGTGCTTGGTACACAGAAAGTCTACAATAAACGTGGGCTCACGTTGAGTGCAAGCGCACCAAGGCAGAGATAATAAGGGCAAGTGTGGGGCATCTGAGAAGGACTCCCCCAGGCCCGGTTCAGGTAGGTCCCAACCAGGATGGTTTCAGAATCCCAGCCTGTGCTAAAATGCAGATTCCCGGGCTCCGCTCAGTTCTTGAGCCCAGGGTCCTGTCCTGCAGGTCCCTCTCAGCACTGCAGGGTCAGTCTCGCCATCTCTCCCTCAACTCTTCTGAGGGCAGGACATCTAATGCCTCTCATCAACTTTCAGGTTTTCCACTGTTGCTAACAAGTTCTTCCTTACAGGTAAGGAGTTTTGCATTTCACCCCCTTCATTTTACAGATGTGGAAAAAGAGAGGTTGGACTTGCTCTAGGTTACACGGAGAATTACTGCAGACTAGCTTCCAGGACCTGGTGGGCCTCACCAGCTGGACTGAACCTCTGTCTATGTGGACTGAATCACATAGTGGACCTCTGGCCAGAGGAGATGGCTTTCTCTTTGCAGGTGCAATGGGTGTCCTTAGCCCCTAAGAAGTATCTGAACCTCAGTTTCTCCATCTGCAAATTGAAGCTGTCCTTCACAGGGCCAGGGAAAGAGTTCATGAGCTCTTACTGAAAAAGCACTTCGCACCGTGCCTGGCACAGAGCACAAGCCTAATTCTAACTTACTTGAGATACCAGACCCGAGGGGCCCTGGGCCTCAGCGCCAGTCTCTTGGCCCGGTCTCCGCGTCTCGCTGGTTCAGAAACCACCCTGCGAGGGGCAGGATGTGGTGGGGGTACAGTAAGGACTAGGCAGGAGGAATCGCGCAGAGGAGAGGGCGGCGGGAAGAAGAGAGAGAAAACCCCAAAGGCCCGGAAGGCCGGGAGGGAGGCAGGGCCCCGGCTGGAAACCGCGGCTATTTGCAGCGTCGCCCTCGGGCTGCGGTCAGGCTGGGGCTGGCAGTCCTGGCTGCCGAGCCCGCCGCCCCGCCCGGTGCCCTTGGCCACCCGGGCACGGCCCTAGCCGGTGCGCCTGGCTTCCCCGCGTCCTCGAGGCCCGGGGCGGCGGCTGGGTTGGGGCGCAGCAGCCAGAGGGAGGAGCGGGCCACAGGAGGACCGGGCACTGGACGGCGGGTTGGGGTGTGATCCTGGGTGGGCGGGGTACTTGCGGTGTGGTGCGACCCCTGGGTGAGCTGGGCCCAAGCAGGTTGAAGTTCGGATACGATCCCCCTGACGTGGGGGAGACCCTAACTGACTCAGGTTCAGGTCCGACCCCAGGCTGGCAGGGCAAGGGCATGTTCAGGTTTGGGGACAACCCCCGGGTAGGCGGGGTCAGAATGGGTTTAAGTTCCAATGCGACCCCTGGGTGGGCGGGGCCATGATCAGTAAGACCCCCGGGTGGGCGGGGCCGGCTCAGGTTCAAGTTCGGATAGGACCTCCGAGTGGGCGGGGCATGAGCCAGGGCAGGTCCAAGATCCGTAGACCCCGGTTGGGCGGCAAGTGTGGACTAGCCGTGCCGGGTCAGGTCCAGGTTCTGCTGGACCCCAGGTGGGCTGGCTGCGCCGGGCGAGCGAGTCTGGGGCGGCGCGGGGTGGCTGTCTGGCCGCGGGGAGGGTCGCGGCCACGGCGAGGCTCCCTGGGCGCCGGGTGGGCGCGCAGGATTGCTAAAGGCTGCGGTTTGGCTAGGATTGCAGAGCCCAGAAGAAAAAGGCGCAGGAGGGAGGGATTTAAGAAAAAAAAAAAAAAAGAGGAAAGGGAAACACGAGATGAGGGCGGCATGCGGGCAGGAAGCCGACGTTTCCGAGTGCCTACTCTGCCCAAAGGAGGTGGGGTTATGGACCCATTTTACAGACCGGCTTGGGGAGGTCAAGCGCCTTGGTCGCCCAGTCTTTAAATGACAGAGTCAGGATTCGAACCTGGATGTGACAGCCGCTCGCGTGCTCGTTCACCGGAATAGCGGGGCTAGGAGGGGAAATACGAGGGGCGGGACTTCGGTGAGAGGTCTTGGCTGCCTCGTGGGGACCCCTGGCAGAGAAGCAGCTGTCAGCTGATGACCTATCTGGGCCCTTTCACGCCGCCCTGCTTTCGACTTTCCTGTGCCTTTCCAGCGCCCCCACGTGGAAGCTTCTGACCGCCTCATCTCCCCTCCCAGAACGCCGGTTTGGTGGGCCAAGAGCTCTCCGACGGTCTGCCCCTTGCATGAAAGGACAGGAGGTGAACGAGGGTCTGGTCTGCCAGAGGCGGGCGTCGCGGTCCTTCCTTCTGCAGGGATTAGGCGGTGGGTCAAGGCAGCCAGGAGCCCATGCCGGGGTCAACAGCCTCCACCCTGTGCTTGAACCCCTGTGGCTGTGATGGCTTGGAAGGTCCCTCACGCCTTTGGCGGTTGCTGTCATTGATCCCGGATTTATTGAAGACCTTACAAAATGAAGAGAGGGGAGATGAAAGAAGATTTTAACACAGCAGGCGCATCTGGGGAGGAATGTGGCGTTACCACATCTGTTATGTGGGTACACTGGACATTTGTCCTAGACAGAACACTCACAGTCTAGATGGAGCAAACAGAGCTCTCCCCCGTGTCTAGAGCTTGAATGGCCAGATAGCTTTTCCCACCTTCGAGGCACATGATTTGATCCAAGGATAGGTTGTTCTCTAGCCCCTCAATTATGCCCCCACACCCATCTCTGGAAGGGTCTGGAAGATTCTGAAGGGATGACCCAGTTTCCAGAAAAGTTTCCCGTTGACAGCTGATCAGAGTTCTGAGAATGATGGCAAGAGCTCAGTCCTTGCCCTTACCCCTCCCCCACCACCAAAGGCGCCGTCTGGCCCAAGGGTGCAGGGACCTGGGGGTCTCACTGTGGCTCCTTTCCTTCCCTCTTGCCTTTCTCTACAGGGCCCACACCCACTCGCATCTATTCTGCAGT